TACTTTCAAATTTCATTTTTGAGAGTTCTAAATCCTTCAAGATTTCATTTTTTCAAAATCCATTTTCATTTCTAGAAGAAGTTTGTTTAATTTGAAAATTCTTTTTCAAGTTTTCAGATTTTATTTTTGAAAGCTCTAACTCCTTTCTCAACATTTCATTTGATTTTCCAAGTCTGTTTTAGCTTTCAAAAGAATATCATTTTTAGCAATAAATTTAGAAATCAATTATTGTATTTGGAGTTCATGGTCTCAAACTCCGAATATAATTTATCATAAGCATCTTGTAACTCATTAAAAGATTTTGAATTTGATATATTTGAGTTAGAAGATACCTTTGGCTCTGTGAGAGCTAATAGAGACATCACTTTTATTGGTTCTTCTTCTTCCTTGTCTCTATAGATCTCCTCAAGCTTATCCCACATTTCCTTGGCACTTGAACAAGAAGAAACTCCTTTATATACATTAGGATCAATTGCACAACACAACATGTGCTAGCCTTTTTTTGTTGAGCTTCCTTCCGTTCTTGAACACTCCACTTCTTTGCCTTCTTAGTAGGAGAGGAATATCCTTTCTTGATTATCATCCAAGCTTCATATCAAATGCTTTGATGAATATCATCATACACCTCTTCCAATGACGATAATTTGTCCCATTGAAGTGTGGAGGCACGTCAATAGGTCTGGATTCTTCCATGGAGATTGAACCGAAGTAGACGCCATCTTTATCATTTAACTCTCCCGAATCGACTCAAGAGGCGATTAAACCTTCAAATGAGTGAGGCTCTATACCAATTTTGAGTTAATCGATTGACGGAATTGGCCAAGAGGGGGTGAATTGGCAATTAAAAATTTGGTGGAAGCTTTTGCAGAAAATTGAAAGTAATTGCACAGCGATTTAGAGTGGTTCGACTTTCTCAATCAAAGTCTATGTCCACTACCTTAGCTATCCACACTAAGGATTTTCCAACAAATTCACTAATTTGTTCTTTCTTTTGAGGCCAAAGAGATAACCTTACAACATTCTCAAGAATATACCCCAATTCTTGAGAACACTCTTTCCCAAAGAGAATATTACAAATTTGCAAACTTACAAGGAAAATCTCACAAGGTAAGATGTTTGCACAATTCAGAAAAGAACACTCACAAATAATTACAAATGAGCACAAATGGTTTTTTGAAAGCAAAATGAATATTGAAAGGAAATTGCTTGATTTGCACAAACTTGGTGTTTGATGCTTTCACTCTTGTTTCTCTATAATTTCTTATCTTTCAAAGGCTTCAGAACTTGTTTAAATACACCTTGAATCATTTCTGAACGTTGGGGATGATTAGTGAAGATCATATAGCCATTTTAGTGTGAAAACAATTAATAAAACAACTTGGAGCGTGGGGGAATCGGTTCCCTAATGTAAAATTCAAATATTTCGACCGTTATACAAGGGGGAAATCGGTTCCCTCCGAGCATACTGGAATTCTCGGAGTCAAACCATTCAGGGGGGAATCGATATCCCCTTGGGGGGGAATCGGTTCCCTCTGAGCAATCTGGAAGTTTTGGCTTTGAAATGGTTCGAAATACTTTGTAAAATTATTTTGAAATTGTTTTAAGATTAAAACTTAATTTTACACTTGAGTAAGGATTAAAAATGATTTTTGAAAGATTTGGAGTAATGTTTTGATATTCGAATAGTTATATCGAATATACTTAGAAAATCATTTGGAAAATCTTAAAATTCATTTAACTTAATTTGTTATATCGAAATATTAAAATGTTTTCAACACAACAATAACTTATATTTATAGAAAATTATTATAAAAATATTATTTTATGGGGTTTTAACCCTAATTTTCTCTCATTTTTTGTGTCATCGCTAGTCTTTTTTTCTTTTTCATCTTTGTAATCGACGACGCCACCAGTCTTGGTATTGATTGTTGATTGTCGATATTCATTGTTTTTCTTTATTTTATTATGTTATATCTTTATATTTTTTTCTTTTTTTTAATTTTTAATAACTCTTCCTTTATGACACGTTTTTGGTCGTTTGACCGTTATTTTTGTTATCATTTTTCTCAGAGATGGATTTGACATCGCCATTATTGATCAAGATAATGCTCATTTTTTATCATGATAATGTTTCCTGCTTGGACCACCGGATTGAATTTGGATATGCGATCACATATAATTTTCTCATATCGCTCGATTTTGATTTGCAGTTTGTCAGTTATCTTTCAATAGCTTGATCCGTTTTGTGGTTTGTTGCTGATGTGATCATATTTATTTGTATCTACATTTTATTCGAGTATATTTGTTTGGTTTTTAACATTAATAAGATAAATATCAATTGAAAAAACAACATTAATAATTCTAAAAAAAAAAATTAAATAAGGCGTTCAATCTCAGGTCTCTTAGGAGAAATGCAAATAATAATAATAAAAACTCGTGATTGTCTAAAAATATGTTGGTTCTCTATATCACTCGCGACCCTCCCTCTCTGGTTAGGTGTAATGGTTATTGACGGTATTTCCTACCATTCGGTTTAGGTTGGCTTTCTGGTCTGTTTCTAGGTTTTCCCTCCTTGTCATCTTTTCATGGTGCAGTAGTTCCTTTCTCATTGGTTTGGACCTTCGGCTCCACTCACCTGTTTTATGTCTATTTCTATTGTTTTGTGGGGTTATTGATCTTTCGACCTCTTATGTTTAAATCCATGTCTATCTATTGTCTCTTTTACCTATGTTTCACGTGATTATGGATATTGGGGGTGCGAAGTGGTTATTGCATCGACCTGACAATTTACAACGTGTGGGTCTTCAGTTTCTCAGTAGTTACCTTGGATCAACGAGACTTCATGTGTTTATGTTGGTTTGACTTTATATATTTACTTATTGTCCCTTTCCTCTTGGTTTGCTTCACTCGAATGACGGGTTATGTACAACACCTGTTACCGAACCTTTATTTCACGAAAGATGAAGTTGGTAAAGTCCTCCTTACGGGGTCCTCACTTCCCTTGCAAATGAGTCGACAAATATCTGGCTGATTGGATCTCTTCTTTGTGCTGAAACTGTTGATTCCGAGATTGTTATATGGGCCCCTACTACAGTGGACGACATCTCGTTCTCGGGCAATAGTCATTTCCTTTTCAAATTCATTTCGGTATCTACGAAGCAGCCTATCTTGGATCGTGCTCCTTGGTCGTTTGATAGAGACTCATTGCCGTTGGCTCAAAATGATCTCCTATGCAGACTCATTGATTATGATTTTCCTATGTTTGCTATTTCTTATTGCCTTCGTACGACGGTTGAGCTGAATTTTACATACGTCATTATCGAAAGCAATTCTGCTACTGTTGTTCGTCAATTAGAGAATCATTCTTCATTTCTTTATTGATAAAGCACGACGCACGTTAGATTCTCACCCATATTATGGTATCCACTGGGTAAATAATGCAGTTAATGATCTGGCTACGTTCTAATCTTATGCATCCGCTTTGTTGTATTTTGATTGTAGTTGTTTTCCATATATTTCGGATGTTGTTGTTACTGATATAATTCTCTGTTAATGAAAACATGTCTTTTTGCCAAACGAAAAAGAAATAGACAAACAAGAACGTGTTATAAAAGTATATAGTGATTTTTATTACTAATTTTAATGTCACCATATTTTTTAATAAATAAATAATATCCACAAAGTTAATTTCATTTTTATGGAAACCATTTTTATTGGCGGTCATTGCGGGGACCCTTTATTGCTTTTCCTCCCACACCTATAAATCCCCACTGCTCTCCCCATTTTGCTCTCCATCGCCTCCAAGTGGATACCTAAACTGTGTTACCCTATCTTCATAGTTTCTCTTTTCTCTTAAGCATTCCCAAAAACACCATGTCGACGACCGCCGAAGCTTCCACGATGCAAACCAATGACGAACTCAAAAGGGTGTTCAACCAATTCGACGCCAACAAGGACGGATACATCTCCGTAACGGAGCTCCGCGACGTGTTGATAGCAATGGGGTCCAACTATTCGGAGGAGGAGATCAGGCGCGTCATGGACGACATCGACAACGACAAAGATGGATACATCAACTTCCCCGAATTCTCCTCCTTCTGGACCTCGTCTTCCGACGCCGGAACCGCCGCTTCCGAGCTGAAAGAGGCCTTCGATATGTACGATGTGAATAAGAACGGCCTGATCTCGGCCACGGAGCTGCATCAGGTTCTGAACCGCCTGGGGATGACGTTTTCGGTGGAAGATTGTGTTGGGATGATCAAGTCCGTTGATTCGGATGCCGATGGTCACGTCAATTTCGAGGAGTTTAAGAAGATGATGAGTGCCTCGTCGGCGTCCAGCATGGCGGCGGATCTAAGCCGTAGGATTCAAAGCTTTATTTTTCGGACGGGGATGGATTGGTTCAAACAACGTGGATCAAAGGTAGCGTTTCTAGAGATTTTCTCAGCTTATTTTCAGATATTTAAATTCTTCATCTTATGTAATTTTCGGAACTTGACTTTCTGCTGGGTTCTCAGCTTTATCGAATTAAATGAAAATATCTTCGAATCCATTACCGAGTTTTTTTTCCTGCATTTTCCCTTCGTTGCTATTTCTGGAGATGGATTCACTGATTCCTGCACAAGTTGTTCTCTAAGAAACAGCAACCTGTCATTTGCCTTCCAAAACAGAAAAAGAATCTCCTTGCCAATGACTTTATATACTTCTTTTTTGGTAACATATGGTATTAATATCCTTAAAAAAGACTTTAATACTATTTAATCGTTCTTACACATCAATTTATTTTATTTTAATTAACATGTCTATATGTCTACCATTTGAGTTAACCTACAATTTTGTAATTTGTAATAATTTACAATCGATCCATGAAATAATTAATCATTATTATACTCACATAAAATTATAATTATAACTAACATATTAAGACAGTAATCAAAGACAAAGCTTAGTAGTTTCTTTTTGAGAGGAAGAAGTAAATAATAAAAAAACTTAAAGGGTTAAAATATCAATTTTTATTCTTTTTTTAGTTTATAATTTTATAGCTTTTTAAAATATTAAACTGTCTTTATATTATTTATGAGTAAGAATGTGATTTAATTTAAATAGAAAATTTTAGAGGGATTAAATTAAGATTTATTGTTTTAAGGGTTATATATGTAATGCATGATATGCTTATCCAATATAAAATATATTTTTTTATAGTGATTTAGGATCATTGGATGAGTGTTAATTGATTGTTGAAATAAAAAAATAAAAACAATTAGATTTTTACTGAAAATTAGAAGTGAATAATCTCAACCATTAATTTGCATTTATTAAATGATCCTGAATCAACGAAAAACTTTTAATTTCTATATTGTGTAAATTAATCATATCTTTTGATATATACACCACAATAATTTTAGATAATATAAAAAATCCAAAACCACAAAAATTGATGGTTTGAGATTTAATTTAATTGACAGTATTATTTTTATCATATCTAAAATACTTTAAATATTATAATTTATAATTTAAAAAACAAAAATATCAAAACCTACTCATTCAAGAGTCTACATCAAACTATAAAAGTTTAAAGAAAGATTAAAAATATAATTTTATCAGCAAATTCCTTCCCCCGAAGCTGGTAAAGTCATAAGAAATGAATTTCATTTATCAATTGAAAGGGTTTGACAGGGTAAAAATAAAAGAAAATAATAATTTCATTTTTTCCTTTTAAAACATAACATAAAAATTGATAAAGCAAACTAACTGTTTGATTCACGTAGTAAAGAATTTGATATCGTTTATTCAGGTCTCGAGTTCGTGTTATTGTATATGTAAAAAATTCCATTGAGAGACTCATCCATTAAAATTAGGTGCACGACCTGAGTCGGTCTAGATTAGTCCAGACAAAATCTTAAGAACCATAATCACAACTAGAAAAAAATTGATAAAGGAAATATACATATTTTCTTGTAAACTATGTTGTTGAGGCCGAAACTAAAATAATATGGGCCTAGGCACGATGTCATGCTCATACATATTATGAAGTTGAAGATATGGGTTCAAATTAAAGTACAATTTAATAATTTGGTAAATTACCCCCCACCCAAAAAATCAATGGTTTTGATCCAACTTGGTAAATTATTCCCCACCCCCAAAATCAATTCAATTTCCATACAAAAATCAAAATATTAGATTATTAATTAATTAATTTAAATTAAATTTTATAAAGAATTATTATAAGAATAATTTTTAATTAAATATTTTTATTTATAATATTACGATTTAAACTTTTTTATTTAATAAAACCTAACGTATCATACTATAAATCAACTAATAATCAACAGAATATTCAACTAATTAATTTAGTTCAATTGCCGGTATTGTTTGCAATTTCATACTATAAGTAGTTGATGTGATTGTAGAGGTCCATGTTGGCATAATCATTGTGTGCCTAATATGTTGTAGACATTAGTGAGTTGATTTGTTATTTGGATACTTCACTCATCATTTCTATTGCATTTAACTTGTTTAAAATCTCATTCGAGTTGGCACAATAATTCCACTCAGTTTGAGTTGAGCCCGAGCAATTGAAAATTTCCATTTAATCATTTATATAGTATAGGAAAGGGATCAGCCACGCAGCTTGGCTTTATGTTTGGTCAATTATGTAGACGACAACAAAATAGAAGACGAGAGAAGAAGAAATGATAAAATTATAAAGAAATATAGCAACTCTTATTTTAATAAATTTATATCACGAAATTAAATAAGATGATTATATAGAATTTTAAGCTAAAGTACACAAATGATTCCCCATTATAGAGAGTTGTTTTTGTTGAGTCTCTCTACTATTAAAAGTTAAAAAGCGGTATCGACTATTCATCATCCTCCAAACTCATCATTTTCCATTAAAAAATTAATGGTCGTTTGAGCTGACGTTAACATGTTGACTGAGATAGTATAGTATTTTGAAGTTATGAGATCATATTTTATCATATCTTAGTCAACATCCAACTCAGACTACCATCAATTTTTTAACGGAAAAGGTTAAGCTTGGAACATAATGAATAATTATATAATCATTTTATAACTTTTAGTAGTTGATGAACTCAACAAAGTAAATCTCGGAAAAAATCATATAATTATATAACACTAAAATCTTAGAAAACTTTCGTTTTAAATATATATTTTTTCATTAGTTTTAAAATTAGGTCTTTCTTTTTTAAAAAGAATAAACAAAAGCTTTATGCTAACACATTTATTGAGCATTTCCAACAATGCATATTTTGTGCTTTTAAAAGGATTAGTATATGGAATGATTAACCATCATTTCTTGACCTAATTTTTTTGAATATGGAATTAAACCACTGATAACCATAATGTCACGAAAAGGAAGATGAAGGCCCAATAAGCAAATGACACGTCAATATAACAAGAAAGAGCTAGACAACACTTGGAACAAGATAATTGACCTGACCTGCCCTGCCCCCAACAAGTAATTTTTCAAGTATAATCTTGGATTTAAAATTTATAAATGAAAAAAAAAACAGAAATGAAAAAGAATTATTTTTCGTATAAGAGTATACTTTAATTAGTTTTAAATATAATCAAAATTTGTATAATTATCGAAAAGTTAGTGATAATCAACATCAAAGTAACAGGTAATCGTATGTCTTTATGTTTCCACATGTAAATGTAAAGAAATAGAACCAAAACGTAGCTGTTTAGGAGTCTTATGTATGACTAAACATCCATCCCATGATGGTCTCAAACATCTCAGTTTCTTGAATCTTCAACTTTCCTCTGTGTTCTTCTTTTTAAGCTTTTTCTCTGCTTTTGATCTTTGGTTGATTACTGGACACCAGCTTCGTGTATGGCTGATTCATATGATGAAGAGTGTGATTACCTGTTCAAGGCGGTACTGATTGGGGATTCCGCGGTCGGGAAATCGAATCTTCTCTCGAGGTTTGCTACCGATGAATTCCGATTGGATTCGAAGCCTACCATCGGAGTTGAATTCGCTTACCGGAACGTCAAAATCGGCGATAAAATAATCAAAGCTCAGATATGGGACACAGCCGGCCAGGAAAGGTAATATCTCCATGGCTTTACTTTCATTCTCGATTTTGCAGAAGAATATTTCTTCTAGTCTTTGATTCCTTGCATAAGCTATCAGTGAGTTAATTATTGTATTAAGCATGCTGACGGACTGATTTAGATATCAACTCACTAAAATTCAGCTAGAGCAACGGAAGATCTTGTGAACTCACTGACTCAGTTAACCGAGTCACTCTGTAGAAACTGATTTCCATGCATATGTAAAGTATGAACTAGTGAGTTAACTCGATCAGGCCTATCATATGAACATATCTTTCCAGCTACATGATCATCTAGTTGCTGATTCAATGGAGACTTTCTGAATTAATTTAACATGATAAAGATAAATGGAAGTATTTAGTGGGACCTAAGATATCGAAATAATATATTTTTAATTTATGCTTGATAAATATGGGAAAATATATTTTAATTTCTGATCATGTAAAATTTTTAATTAATTTACAATATAAGTTTTGATATTTATAATCCTCTACTTTTTACAGTATTTTTAATAATAATAAATTTTTTTTTTAATTTTCTTTTGGGGTGAAAAGTGGCCACTTTGTGTTTGGTTGTGGTTGCGTGCTCTTTTTGCCAACTTTCCCTAATAAATTTATTGCAAATGAGATTGAACCTACTACTAAACCCTAATTTTCTTTGGACATTGAGATCTTGAATTTGACAATTTTCTTTGTTGTTTAGGAGCTTGGTTGGTATTTGGTTAGCTTCTTACTTTTTATAATCTTATTTTAGTATTTAAATTTTTATATTTTTTTATCATATTTTATCTAAAAATTTATCAGCATCCGATGTGAACATATTCTATTTTCAGATAGATTAAGACATAAATAATAATTTAAGTGTTAAAGTTAGATAAAAAAAGTTTAGATATAATAAAATAGAAAAACGGATATAGTTTAAGTGTCAAAATGTGCATTAAACCTTTATGTCATGATATATCCTCATGGTGTTATTTGTTAAAATAAACACAGGTTTAGAGCAATTACAAGTTCATACTATCGGGGAGCGTTAGGTGCAGTGTTAGTGTACGACATAACCCGAAGACCGACCTTTGACAACGTGAAGAAATGGATGCACGAGCTGCGACAGTTCGGCGATTCTGACATAGTTGTTGTCCTTGTCGGAAACAAATCGGATTTGAGTCGATTTCGAGAAGTCACTGAGGAAGAAGGGAGAAGCCTAGCCGAGTCCCACGGCCTATTTTTCATGGAAACATCTGCTCTGCAAAACTTGAACGTGGAGGAAGCTTTTTTACGAATGATCACTAAAATCCATGAGATCACGAGTAAAAAATATTTAGATTCCAAAACGAAAGAAAATATTACCAGTCTTAAAGGTGGTAAAGAAATAATTACTCTTGATGAAGTTACTGCCACAAAACAGTCAAGTAATTGTTGCTACTAGCTCTACAACTTTAATATAAATTTTCATAATGATTTCCTTATTTCTACTTTGCAGATATCTGACTTGTATTTTACACGATTCGAATACTGCGAATTTAGATAATATTTGAACTCGGATATTCTAATTACCATCCGCAACATATTCAGAAGCAGATAGCATTTCTTGTTGCAGCATCCTTCATATACACACACACACACATAATGTGTACAAATTGAGTCTCTTGCCTTTCTCTTTGCCTGCTAGACCTTCTGCAATGTTTTCATGGCTTATCCTCTCTCATGGGCACTACTTTGGAGATACAGTTGATCTGGGCACTTGTGCGCTTGTTGGCTTTTGCAGTGGCTTCAAAGCAGCCATAATTTCAGAAAACGTCGGCCTTAGTTTCGGGTCTCTACACTTTCAAAACAATGGGGATCAGTTCCACCTATCAGCCAATAAACACATTCAGATGCATCTTCTGTGATTGCAATGCAATGACACTATATGGAGTTCGGAATACAGCAGCAACCTCTGCCATTCGAAATATACTCATGTGTGCCAACACTTTCTAATGATTTCTGCAACGGCAGAATCTAGTCATCTGGAATGTCGAGACGACGGTGCTGAAATCCTACAGCACCAACAACTTGCATCGGATTCATTCCTTTCCATGGTTGTTGCATTGTTGAGAGTTCCCATAAGATAACTCCGAAGCTATAAACATCACACCTGCATATTTTAATGAATTATTACCATCTTATGATTCTAGGATAACAATGGAAAAGCAGTAACGCAAAATAGCCGATGGGAAAGGGGAAAGCTTACTTCTCATCTGCAGGTTCATTTCGTAGTACCTCGGGAGCCATCCACTCAGCCTGGAGAAAAGCGATACATGGACGGTTAAACTCAAAGGTATAGCACATATGGTACAACTAAAAGCTGTTTGATATTACCGTCCCTGCAGTTGACATTGATGATAGATATGTGCTGTGCTTCATCCGTGATAAACCGAAATCACAGACCTATACAGAATTCCATGCTAGGATGAGCCGTTTAGAAAAGAAATCCTAAAAGGATCGGCAATAATTAATAGGAGGGGAAAAAAGCAACCTTTACAACCCAATTTTTGTCAACTAAAAGATTCGGTGACTTCAAATCACGGTGTACTATCACCGGAGTGCAATTGTGCAAGTAATTCATTCCCCGAGCCTGAAAGTTCAAGCATTCAAAGGAGAAAGATGAGAAGCAAAGCCACTAAGTGAAGGTTTAAGCAGATCAAACAAAATATAATTACAAGAATAACATAATCGTTCGGCACCCGAGCATTTTGTTTACAGGTTGGTGCATGTATCCCCCTGCTCAAGGAGCTGGGTTCAAATCCCCCGTCTCCAATGTCAAAACAATAATAATCTACAACATATAAAGGCACAAATGTTGGTAAAACTTATGATTGACAAAAAAAGGAGTGCTATTTAAAATAAATTAGAGAGCTAATAGAATTACATCCTAACAAGCTGGGAGCTACCCAACCCCTTTTATATTTCTCTTAAAATATACTATAGTATTTTTCATTTGTAAACATTTCTTGCACTTACAAAGTGAGTGAAAAATTATAATACTGTTAATAATAAAATGGTAGGATCATACAGCATAAAGAGCCATCCTCAAGCGCCTCCGCTCATCCAATTGATTGTTCGGTCAGTGAATTAACCTATACAAACTACCTCTGCAAAATACAAGATGAAAAATGCATACAATGAAGATAGTCAAGATACAACAAAATGAATAGATAAGCAATTAGCAAATAGGAAATCGGCAAGAATACATAGTCGTCGAGAACAAAGGGAATAAGAATAAAAGAGTCAGCTTGCCAAGATGAACAAGTTCGGAACCCTCCAGATGAAGTTCCAATAAAATTATGAAAAATATAGATAGACAACATACCTATGAAGAAATTCTGTTACAATTGAAAGGTTTGGAGGATGAGTTACAGGTCCCATGAAGAGAACGACATTGGGATGTCTGAGCTTTTTCATGATTAGGACCTATAAAATTCATATTTAAAAATTTTAATTTAGAAGGGAAGTAATTTAGACAAATAAATGGAGGGGATAATGAAGAGAGTACAATGTGATTTTGGGAAAAAGCTTACTGCGAAGAACGGTGATCGTGCCAAATGAAACCACTCAGAAAGGAAAAGCTATTAATGAAATCCAAACATACCACTAACATGTTCTCATATAAGTGGGAAAACAAATGCTTGACTTTCTCAATAAAAGATGCTTCATAGTTAATTATATGGTAATCTGTTACTAAAGGTTAAAACATTTACAATAACATGAACAGTGCATCTATTTAGGCTTTGGCATGAGGTAAGTGCGCATATAAAATAGCAGCAAGGGAGAAAGGAAAGGCTTACCTCACTTTTGAATTCTTCAAGTGATTCCCCAGAGATATCTTGATTTAGGAACTTTTTTACAGCAACTTCCTATGAAATCAAAGGGAGAGAAGATGGCCAAATGTTCTTATTCAGAGAAAAGCAACATATTATGGCAAGGTTTACCCCCCATCAAAGACCTAGGCAGCAAACTTAAAAGGTGGGAAAGTGAAAAATCATGTAATAAAATTGATTGAAAACCAAATTTACATTGTTATAAAGATAATCCGCGTGCATGAAAGAATTAGTAGTTAATAAAAATGGCATAATTATCCAGCCCCCAGAATAAAGGAACACATTGCAAGACTTAATAAGGCTAGTTTGTCTATCCTGAGTTTCAGGTTCATAATTTTAATATAAATGAAAAATAAACAGGAGCAAAAGCTCATTTGAAAGTCAGTGATTTCCGATAGTGTTTTAAAACCTCCAATCTAAAATCAATTTGGTAACAAAGCAAAGAGAATATTAGACATAAAAGATTAAGAATAAGAGAACTCACGGTCCCATGCCAGTCTCCACAATAAATCTCACCATATGATCCTGCAACAGAAAGGATGCACCAAAATAATGAAAATAGATCACATCAACTGAAAACAACCTGGAACCATACTATCTACACAAGACAGAGCATGGAATTTGTAGCTAAATAACACATTGATACCAAGTCCAATTCGTTCACCCAAGGTGATTTCCTCCCAAGGTAGCTCGCATTCCGCAACATCATCAAGGGCAATATCAGACTTTGAACTAGCATTACCAGATGATCTATCTGATATTCTATTGCCTCCAGAATTTACCCTTAACGCATCTTGCTCCCCTCCACCAGTATGCTCACAGCCAGAAGAGTCAGCATCTACATCACTACAATCATTATGCTTTGCGGCTGCTCTTGTTGCTACCACTGCAGCAGTAGCAGCAGCTGCTACAGGAAGTTCAACATTTGAATCTGTGCCAGACTTTTTTGCAGCAACTGGGACATTTCTGGGATATTGAATAGGAGACGCTTCAGATTGTGACGACACAGGTGGTCGAGTGACTTCTCTTGTATCAAATGGATAAATGACCCCTTGGCCTTCCACAGGTTTAAGATGCTCAGGTTGGTCATGGGAGCTTGCCTTAACATATACTTTCTGCTGGGGAAGAGGAGGTAAGTAAGGAGAAGGTGCAAAATCATCGTGGTTCTTACTTTCGCCAGGTCCATTACCCTGCCTATTTTCATCCTTAGTTTCAACTGGCAATCTGACTTCAATATTTGATGTATCTAGCTGCTCAGAATATATGCCAGTCAATAAGTTAGGAGGAGCAACAACACCACTCTCAAGTAACACATCATGAACTTTTTGAGTTAATTGTGGGTTTTCCTTGGTGACATCAATCATGTATTGTGATACATCTCTCACCTTCATCCCATGCACAGTAGGGGTGTTAATACCTTCTGTCCAGGAAGGAGATCTTGCAAGCGCACAAGGATAATTAGGTCTGTTTTGAAGCTCTAGCACAGGAGCCTTCTCCATGCGGGAACGGAATTTGAGGTCACCCATGAATTCCTTAGATTGCTCCCCACTACTATTTGCCCCAGATAAATTTGAGCAAGCATTACAATCTCCTCTTTCATCACATTGGTTTCCTCCAAAAGCAAAATTTTGAACTTGGATCTCTTCTCCAGTGTCCCATATTCTGAACCATCTTCCAATGAACTCCCAATCCCACTACTAGAAGAGGCCATATGGGATGAATCAATGTCTCGAGACAAAGGACCGGAGGAAAAGAAAGAATCATCATATGCCACATGAGATCCACCTGCATCAGAAGGAATAAGTGTGCCAGGATCTGCCATTAGGTCAACAATGTATTCCCTGAAAAACACACCGACCACTTTTGATGAATAATCAAGCTTTTGCAACCTATGTCAATAATTTACAAACCAAGAAGTACCACTAGCCCACAGCAAGTCTTGCTGAGCAATTTTTGAAAAAAGAAATGCAATAACTACATGTTACAGTAGGAGGAGAAGAGCGTGGAAATGAAGAAGAAATTGGGAGAAATGACGAAGAAATTGGGAGAAGAGGAGGTCAAGGGTTAGGGATTGTCGTTGGAGAATTGGGGATCGAGGGAAGAGAAGGGTCTGAAATTGGGGAATTAGGGATTAAAGTAAAAGAAGAGGGAACGAGGTATTTACCTTCTGTAATGGAGCAGATCGAACGCTTGGGTCAAGAGGGAGTTGGGCCGTCCAAGTTTGCATCCATCAAGAGAAGAATTAGCCCAAGTTCGGTGGCCAGGACCTGAGGAGAGAAGATAATATCTGTTAGTTATAGCTGTTATATAGTACTGACACTGGCACATTTTAAATTACAACTTTAGCCCTGTAACTAAATAAAACAATGGCAGAGGAATTGATTTCTCAAGTAATGAATGAAGTATCTCTTTTCTGTAATCCCTAATTCTAAATTTCTTCTTCTCGAATCCTTTTCTACTTCTCTTAACTATAACAATTGGTAATCAGAGCTACGATTCTGGCAAAATTTTTGAGGGCATACCAAAGAAGAACCAATCTATGGCAGAAACCGATTTAGCTAGAATTCAGAAACAGATTGAAGATCTTGCTACTTTGGTGAAACAAGGCCAAAATGAGACTAATCCACCTAAATGGTGGGAGACTCAGGAAAACAGGATTACTGCACTGGAGGCAAGGATGACCACGAATCACAGTTATGTGGAAGATATACTAAAGATCTTAACTGGCAGAAATGGTGAACAAGAGCAATCTGCAGGGGATCAGGTATACACTCCTAATAGCTCTAAAAATGGGGAGAAAAATCCTATTTTGGTGACTATAGTTAAGGATAAATCCAGATTCTCTTATAAAACTGATGAACTGGGATTTTGAAGGATAAGCCTGATGCCTGTTTAGCTCTTAAGAACAGTTCTAGGCTTGAGAATCAAATGGGTGACAACAGTAATAATAGACCTGTTATGCTGGGTCTGGAAACTGAAAACAGGGGACCAGGGGGTTCATTTAGCAGTTCAGGGATTATGTGGCATAGACCTAAAATAGAGTTGCCATTTTTTGAGGGGGTAAATCCTAGGGGGTGGCTGCAGAAGTGTCTCAAGTATTTTTCCTTATGCAATGTTCTGTAGATCAAAGGGTAAAAGTGGCTACTATGTATCTTACAAGAAAAGTAGAAATATGGTTTGATGGCTATATTATGCAGAAACATCATAACTTGGCATGAGTTTGAAGCTGATTTGTTCCATAGATTCAGTGATAGGTCTTTTTCTGATATTGTGGAGGAATTCACTAAACTTACACAGAAAGAATCTGTTGAAGACTATCAAGAAAGGTTTGAGGAGTTACAACACACATGCTATTACAAAATCCTACCTTGAGTGAGGAGTTCCTTGTGTCACTTTTTATAAGTGAGCTTAGAGATGACATCAAACATAGAGTGAAAGCTCTAGATCCTAAGAATTTATCTGAGGCATGCAAACAAGCTAAGCTCTATGAGTTGTCTGTGGAGTTTGAAAATAGAAGGTTGAGACCTTCCTTTAAAATCCCACCCTACCCAAACCCCAATAATACTCCCAAGCCAAATTCAGTTCCACTGCCTATTAAATCCTCACCAAATTCCAACACTAAACAGACTCTCATTGATTACAGAAGACAAAACAACCTTTGTTTTAAGTGTGGAGAAAAATTTCAGCCAGGCCATCAATGTAAAACAAGAAACCTCAATATGATGATTGAAGAGGAACATCCTATTCCTACAGAATCTGTTCCTACTGATTCAGACCAGCAGATACTACAAGAGGAAAACTTAGAAATATCTATGAATGCTATTACTGGTTGTATTAGTCATAATACTTTGAAGATTCAAGGAACAATACAAGGCAGACCTTTGAATATTTTGATTGACAATGGAAGCACACATAGTTTTTTGACACCAGAATGGGCTGATGCTGGAATTCAAGTTCTCACTCCCTATCCTTTAGCTATTACAGTAGCTAATGGCCAACAGCTCTATAGTTCAGCTAGATGCAACAAGGTGGAGTGGCAGATGCAAGGACACTCTTTCATATATGACTTTAGACTTCTTAAATTGGGAGGCAGTGATATGGTTTTAGGAGTTGACTGAATGAAACTATTTAGTCCGATTTTGATGGACTTCAATCAAATGGCAATGAGTTTTCAGCATCAAGGTGAAAACATTGTTATACAGGGACAACAACCTTCACTGCTGTTGCAACAGATTTCAGGTACTACTTTATTAAAAATGACAGCATCTGAGGCAGCTATTTTGGGGCATGTGGTTTGCTGAGTATGACTAAAATTCCTAAGTCAGTTCCTGCAGCTCTTAAACCTCTTTTAAAGAGGTATAGTTCTGTTTTTGATGAGCCTAAAGGATTACCTCCTATAAGGATACATGATCATGCTATTTCCTTAAAACCTGGTTCTACTCCTATTAATTTGAGGCCCTACAGATTTCCTCATAACCAGAAGACTAAAGTAGAAAAGCAGATTGCTACAATGTTATCATCTTCTATTATTCAACCTAGCAAGAGTCCCTTTGCTTCTCCATGCCTTTTGATTAAGAAAAAGGATGGGACTTGAGGTTTTGTGTTGATTATAGACAACTGAATAATCTGACAGTTAAGGATAAGTTTCCTATTCCTGTGGTGGAAGATCTATTAGATGAGTTATATGGTGCAGTTTATTTTTCCAAGATTGACTTAAGGTCAGGGTATTGACAAATCAGAATTAAAGAGAAGGATATTTACAAAACAGCATTTAGAACTCATCAAGGGCATTATGAATTCAAGGTAATGCCTTTTGGTCTTACTAATGCCCCTGCTACATTTCAGGCATTAATGAATAATTTGTTTAAACCATTTCTTAGAAAGTTTGTTTTGGTGTTCTTTGATGACATACTAGTCTACAGTAATACTATGGCTGAACATATTACTCATTTGCAATCAGTTTTGGAGGTTTTAAAAGCCAATCAGTTATTTGCAAAACTGTCCAAGTGTTTTTTTGGACAGACCCAAGTGGTGTACTTGGGACATATTATTTCTGCAGTAGGAGTAGCAACAGATCCTAGTAAGATAGAAGCTATGAAAAATTGGCCTCTTCCTAAATCTTTAAAGTCCCTGCATGGATTTTTGGGTTTAACTGGTTATTACAGGAGGTTTATTAAAGATTATGGTTCCATAAGTAAGCCTTTGACTCAACTGCTTACTAAGGATAATTTTCAGTGTACCACTGCAGCTTTAAATGCTTTTGAATTGTTAAAACAAGCTATGTGTTTCTCTAGTTTTGGCCTTACCTGATTTTAGGAAAAGTTTCTGTTTGGAAACAGATGCTAGCTTAGGAGGAATTGATGTTGTGTTATCTCAAGAGGCCAGACCTATTGCTTATCTCAGTAAGGCCCTAAGTCCTAGACATGTTGCCCTATCTATCTATGAAAGGGAGTATCTTGCTATTTTACTAGCAGTTTCCAAGTGGAGGCATTACTTAGAGAGTAAGCCTTTTATTATTAAAACTGATCATGAGCACTAAAGTATTTATTGGAGCAGAAATTGACCACCACAATCATAAGAAAGGGCTGACTAAATTACTGAGGTTGGATTATACTATTCAATATAGAAGGGGCAAATCTAATACTGTAGCAGATGCTTTGTCAAGGCAATGAGAAGATAATGGTCACTGTTTGGCTATGGGAACTACTTTGCTTATTCCAAACTGGGTACATGAAGTTGAAACTAGCTATAAGGATACAGTTTGGCTGCTGATTGGATTAGATTATTATCTGTGACACCTACTGCTGCTCTAATTGGACATTTTAAAAAGGGATACTCAGATTTAAAGGTAGAGTTTACATTGGATCTACTGGGTCTCTTAGACTCCAAATTCTTCAAGTTTTACATGATTCTCATCATGGAGGTCATTCTGGGACTCAAGCTACTTATCAGAGAATTAGATCCTATTTTTATTGGCCTAGGCTGAAAGCTATGGTGGTCAACTATATAAGATGTTGTACAGTTTGTCAGCAAACTAAGGTTGAGCATATATCTAAACCAGGACTGCTACAGCCCCTTCCTATTCCTAGCCAAGCTTGGGAGGTGGTTACTATGGATTTTATTGATGGGTTACTACTTCTTCGAGAAAAAACTATATATTGGTGGTGGTGGATAAGTTCACAAAATATAGTATTTTATGGCATTGTACCATCCCTATACTGTGATTGAGGTGGCTAAACTCTATCTTGATAATGTTTACAAGTTACATGGTCAACCTAAAATAGCTATTTCAGATAGAGATAAAACATTCACTAGTCTCTTTTGGAGAGAACTAATGAAACAGCTTGGAACTACTACACTGTTCAGCACAGCTTACCATCCTGAGACTGATGGTCAGACAGAAAGGGTAAATCAATGTTTGGAGCAATATTTAAGGGGCTTATGTTTTTTTCAACCTAAGCAATGGGCTAAGTGGTTACCTCATGCAGAGTGGTGGTATAACACTAACTACCACACTGTCCTAAAAATTAACCTTTTCAGGCGTTGTATGGTTACAAGCCTCCTACCATGGTTTGGCAGACAAACTCTAATGTACAGTTAGTGAATGATTTAATGAGAAGCAGAGAGGACATTAGACAATTAGTAAAGCTACAATTGGAGAATGCAAGCAACAGGATGAAACAGAAAGCAGACAAGAACATAACAGAGAGTTTTTACAGTCGGGGAGACAGTTTACCTGAAGTTGCAACCATATAGACAGACTTCTTTGGCCCTGCGAAAAAATATAAAGTTAGCAGCAAAATTTTATGGCCCTTATAAAATTATTGAGAAAATCGGGAAGTTACGTATAGATTAGATTTACCTGAATCATCACGTCTACATCCAGTCTTTCATGTGAGTCTTTTAAAAAAACACATCGGGCCCTCAGCAATCTCTTCAACGACTCCTCCTGAAATGGACGAAGAAGGACAAATTAGAATAGAACCTGATAGAGTGATGGGCAGAAGAATTATCAACAGACAAAACAAACCTATTACGCAGTTGCTAGTGCGATGGAAGAACCTGGGTGAAACCAATGATACATGGGAAGATTATACTGTTTTGCGTGGGCAGTTTCCAGGCTTTGATCCTTGGGGTCAAGGATCGATTCCAGCGGCGGGTATTGTTACAATAGGAGAAGAAGAGCGTGGAAATGAAGAAGAAATTGGGAGAAGAGGAGGTCAAGGGTTAGGGATTGTCGTTGGAGAATTGGGGATCGATGGAAGAGAAGGGTCTGAAATTGGGGAATTAGGGATTAAAGTAAAAGAAGAGGGAACGAGGTAATTACCTTCTATATGGAGCAGATCGAACGTTTGGGTCAAGAGGGAGTTGGGCCGTCCAAGTTTGCAGTCCATCAAGAGAAGAATTAGCCCAAGTTCGGTGGCCAGGACCTGAGGAGAGAAGAGAATATCTGTTAGTTATAGCTGTTATATATACTGACAGCTGGCACATTTTAAATTACAACTTTAGCCCTGTAACTAAATAAAACAATGGCTGAGAGGAATTGATTTCTCAAGTAATGAATGAAGTATCTCTTTTCTGTAATCCCTAATTCTAAATTTCTTCTTCTCGAATCCTTTTCTACTTCTCTTAACTATAACACTACAATGCCAATTTTAAAACAAAAGATATAGATGAAAAGGTTTCTACAGAAGGTAGCTATAGAATTCAGCAAAAGGAACATGTTGAATAAAAAAAGTAGTCAGCTGTTGCCCTACTTAAAAAATGGAAAGTATATTCTACCTCCAAGAAAACAGAACCTAAATAAATCAGGCGACTAATTTCATATTTTAGGGGAAAAGGTAAACATGTACAGCATAGTAGAAATCAACTTCCATCATCAATCTTTACAAAGTTCATTGCCACATCATCAGAACCTGTATATTGTTTCCCTTTCACCAATTGGCAAGGAATGCCAACACTATCAGCCAAAACCTATGCAAACCACAAAAATATAAACAACCGTTATTGCTATAGTCTTATAAAAAAACCGTTATTGCTATAGAAGAAGTCATTGAAGGTCCTCACATTCAATCCATAAAAATCTATGCTCTCCCAATAACTGAAGGCAAGAATCAAGAAAAATGCCAAAGAGTACAAGGGTGGAGGGTGAACATCGTTGTACATGACCTACAATAAATTTGCAACATAATGACACTTGTGGGAAAAAGCACAAACGAACATTGTTGACCAAAACACAAATATTTCAACAACACAGAAATTAGAAAGAATAGGGGTCATTTGACATCATTAATTGTTTCTCTTCTCATAATTTTCTTTTTTTTCTCCATGTTGGACATGGTCTTTGATAGAGGATAGTAGGGAACAACAAAAAAAAGCCAATCTTGCATAGGGGGAAAGGCTTTTTCTTTTTGCAGTTGTTTCTCAATATGACTTGCATTAATTACAACCTTTTTCAAAGTAACATAATTTTTCCCATGAACCTTATTGCAACTTTTCTCCACTCCTAACAACCGATTTAATGGCACAAGATAATGAACAAGTATACCTTACTATCTTTTGGTGACGTGTACCAGACATCTTAGCATATTAACATTAACATAAGACAGAATCTTTGTGAATCATGAGAAAAGAAATACGCAGATAACTCAAGTAGGCTAAATATATCACAATACTGCATAACTGACATAATTATAGGCAGCCCCAAACTCCTAATAAAAAGAAAACAATATTTAGCTGAACTGGAAAATAAAATAAATTATAAACTTTAATGATCCGATTTTTTATTCCAACTTGGGATTGGCAGTGTGAGACCTTTCCCTTCAAATCATTCTTGTAAATCTTGAGAAATCCAGTTGTCAATCCATAAAAAACTTACTTTTAAAAGAAAGAATGAAGAATCTGGTTAAGTACCTTGAATAACAACGCACAATGATGAGCCAAACCAATTTTTAGAGAACCAAGAGGCAAAACCATGCTGTCAAGTGTAGTTTTGAGACTGTAACTAAGACTTCGCCAGGCTCGTGACATATTACCAGGATCTGCAACTGGTCCACCCATATATTCAGAAACTAAAACTGCAAGCTTTTGCACCAGATTGCTGCTTACAGAAGCCAAAGGTTCTGATCTTAATTTTGCAATCAATTCTAGTGCTTTTTGTTCAAGTTTCAATAAATTTGCATCAGAATCTCTATTCACCATAACTGCTTCCCAAGAGACATTGTCTTCCACCAACATCCCTTGCAGATCAAGGGTGAAGGCATTCCTTCTGAAGTGGATTCGGTTAGAGTTCCATACAGGTCATAAAAGCCATTGAGGATCTTGTCATCATAGTTCAGAGCATTATAATTCTGCAAAGCATGGACAAATCTACGATATGAGCCGGTGAGCTATATGCTTAGCTAGTTAGTTTCTGGGGTTAATTTGCAAACCAGTTAATTTCATTGTGCAATATGTGCTTGAACCTAGAGCCTAAGAAGCAGACCTGAACCCAAAAAACAGCCAAAGCACGACTCAAACTTGAAACAATCTGAGATGACCCTTAACTTATATTAGGTATAATACTATAATGAACAAGTATAACACAAACTACTAGTTTATTACCAATACATTGCTCTACCTTAACTATTGCAACGCCATATAACTTGGTAGAATCCTTAATTATGACTAGAATAGTTGGTTAAAGCTCTAACAAGAAAAGAAAGCTAAAGATCAAGCATTGAACTACAAGATTCCGAAGATTACTTTAGCAAGTTACTAAGAAGGATAAGAACAAAAAGGAAAAAAAAAAGCTAAATGGAAACATACCCAATATCTATATGCAACAACTTCAGCTGGAGTATTCTCCGGACCACAAGAGCTTAAACTAATTTGCTTGACAGCTTAAATCTGAGCTGCCTCAGGATCCTCCCTAGCACTCAACTCCATAGCCAATTGTATCTGATACTCCTCTTCTACCTCAGGATCCCTTGAGTTGTTAGACCCTGAATTGCGCCTTGCTCCATCCAAATCAGCCTCTAAACCACTGAAACTCACTGAGTCACTGGATTCCGTAGTTTTCTGATTCTCCTTCTTCAAATTTTAAGAGGATGGTGGATTGGGACTTTTTCTATTAGCAACTGAATTCAACCAACTGGAAAGAACAGACGATGATTTATTATTGTCTTCCGATTGATTCGACGCATGCAGTTTCTTGAGAATGTTCTTCATGTTATTTCACCAAGCTATATAACCATTCCAGTGCTAAAGAAATGATTTTTCTGACCATAAACATCTCCACTTTCTTTGGACCGAAGCATGAAATCAGAGCTGAAACTAATCCAAACGAAGAACCCCCTTTTTATTTTTCACCGATGAATCAACCCATCAAACCCAAAAGCGGAAACAACCATAACTTGAAAGCAATACCCAGTAAGATCCAATTGAAAGAAAACAATCCTCCTTTCCTCATACAAAAAAATCCACGCCCAAAAAAGGGAAATAAAATAAATGGTTTAACATAACCAGGAGACCCGGCTTGCTTTCACCTTCAACGACCGAATAAAACAACCAAAGTTCAGTGATGGATGTTAGTGAAGAAAGCGCAGTAAGGAGTAGCTTGCAAATATATACACATAGATATACATTAGTTTAAACAAACAAGGTAACGTTTGTGTTTGTGTTTATATGTTTAGTTTGTGTTATTTAAATTTTTTAATATAATATTCGTGATCGTTTATTTATTTTTAAATGTATTTGTGTTCGTTTATTTAAAATTTGTGTGTATATTCGTTTAATTTTGTGAACATGTTCATATAACATTTGTTTAATGTTCACGAACATTTTTGTATAGCATTTGTGAACATGTTATTTTAGCATTCATATTTGTTTAACTTTCATGAACCTGTTCGTTTATATACACAGGAATTAAATTAAACCAACAAGTGGTAAAGAAAAATGGTAAAATCACATTATTAGTATTTTAACTCCTAAAGCTTCACAGTTTAAATGTTAAATTTCATCATGTATTCAATTTAGTCCATACATTAACTAATATTTAAAATATAAAAAAAAAAATTAAACGAGTTTATTTATAAACATAAACAAACGAGTCGATAAACGAGCTCATAAACAAGCTTATAAATGAGCTTATTCGTGAATATAAACGAATCAACAAGTATATGTTTGTGCTCATTCGTTTATTAGATGAACATAAAAATTTTGTTCATACTCGTTTACTTAACTTAGTAAATGAGCATAAATGAATGTTATACAAACGGTTCACGAATAGTTTATTGAGCGCTCTGTTCATTTACACCCCTAAATATAGATAAAACTTTTCATTACTGCCTATATAAATTAAGTGTTTATTCTTATTCTCCCTTTCAGTCGATTTTAATTCTATATTTTCAATTTTCGATATAATTGCTTTTCACAACTAAAAGAAATAGATAAATCAACCGAAGGTTTTAATCACTTACTCCAATAAATTTTAAAATTTAAATTTCTTAAAAAATGAAATAAAATATAAACAAGGAAATGGAAAGAAAGGACTGTTGTACGAAGGTGGTCGGTTGAAAATATTTGGAGACAAAATAGTATTTGATGTATATGTAATTGGACGAGTGGAAAAGTGTGCAGAAGGGTATAACTTGAGGAGGGTAGTTCTGTACAATAATATAATATAAGGTTGAAGAAAAAAATTATTGAAAATATTAATATTTTTTTAATATTTTTAATAGAGTACTATTTAAAATATTATTTTTTTATTAAAATAATAATATTTTAAGTATTGCATGAAATTAATATTTTTGATAAAAAATATCATTTTAAATAATATTTTATTCAAAATATTAATATTTTTAATAACTTATTTTTTTTAATTTTATATTAAATTGTATTTCATTATACATCCTCTCTATGAACGTCTGAGGAGCATACACTTTAATTTCGCCTTCAAATTTGTTTTGTCCTCTTATGCATCACAAAGGGATTGTCTCAGGAAAGGCGGGTTAATATACGGCTAATATACGGTGTTACCGGATTATTAAAAGATATTTAACAAATTCGGTTTAGCGCTACCGGAAATGTTGACTAATAATAATGTAGTAGGTCTAAGTCATGAAGAAATATTAAAAAATTGTGCAACCAGCAAACTTAACTTGTCGGTTCGTGTCGATCCAAATTAAAAATGTGTCGATCCAAAACGATATAACAGGTAAAACTATGACAAAACCAGTATTGAAATGATAAAACTGGTAAAGCGCTATCGGATACATTTAAAGTGTCGGTACTTTAATATAAGGATCCACACTTCGTGAATTTAAAAGAGAAGCAGTTTTAAATCCTATAAAGTGTCGATACTTTTAAAAAATGTATCGATCCAAAATGATATACCAGGTAAAAATATGATAAAACCGGTAAAACGTTACCGGATATATTGAAAGTGT